TCTTCCAGACCGCCCAGACATATTTGCAATGCATACGACCCAAGCCGGTGCTATGTGGAGGGCGTCGTGAACTTTTGGCGGCAGAACTTCACGGAATTTCAGCTGTCGGCAACCAAGGTCGCGGACGCCATGGTGGACTACTACCCAGGGTCGGTGCAGCAGGTTTACCGCAACGACATGATGTTCGGGTACCAGGCGACGCCGACTATTACAATGAAATATGCCCCCACCCCCGAACTTGGGAGCATTTGTATTGCAAACCTTTCCAAATGAAACATTCGCCCTCTTGCATCTATCAGCATCACAGGTTTCCAATCGTGAATAGCAAAAATTTGTATTGCAAAAGACCCCAGCAAGAGCGGCGCTTGTCATGCAAGCGATACGATACACGACTAGACTCTGCATCACAAAGATTCATACTCCTTCCATGTATGGCAAAAAGTTCTTATTTGGAAACTTCGCATCACAAATTTTTGCAAGTTTGGGGGTGGGGGCGTTTTTCCCTGCAATACCGACCCCGTTTGCTTTCGGGTTCCAGCTCGGGGTGTTCTTGAATGACGACGATGCAAATGAGGACGACAATCTGTCCTGGGAGAAAAACTACCTGGACGCCATGGAAATGCTTGACGAGGCCGAAAAAGCATCCTATTCTGGGTTTCGGGTACTTAGTACATAATTAGAAGTCAGTAACCTGTTGGTTGCATGATTTAGAAGATCATGAACAAAAAATATTTCATCAAACGTCTACTCAGATCTACCGCGAGTCCACTCGAACGCTTGACGACGAGCTGCTGCGGTCCGTGCGAGGGGATATAATTCTCAATGGCTTGAGCTACACGCTGATGTCGATTTACTGTGGGATCATGCTGTCTCGCAAGCCGCATCCGAAGCTGTACGACTTCAGCCGGGCCTACTGGTGGAAGGTCGTGCGCATCGGCAGCCGGGCCGCATTGGCCACCTTGGGCGTGTTTGTGGTCATCCTCTCCACCATTATCGGATATGGGTTCTGCTTGTACTGCGGCGTGTACTATCAAATGCAAATATGTCTGGGTCTGGAAGGTTGGAAGATTTGGCATGCAGGTTTTTCATGACGCGTGAGGTCTGTCATACATGACCCAGCATGACAGATTCTGTCCGACCTCTATCATGCCTCGTCTGCATGAGAAACTCCCTCTCAGCTTGGTCAAAAGTGGACAGCTTTTGGGAATCATGCAACACAGATTTTAGCACTATCCAAAATTAGCATGACAAGTTGCAACCTTCCAGACCCAGACATATTTGCAATGCATATGTACTTCGTCAGCTTACACCAGGTGCTGCCGTTTATCCTGGTGGGGATCGGGGTGGATGTATCACAGGAAAAAAGTGTTACAGTTGCGCATTTGTTGGAATTTCAGCGTCACAAAGTTGCTCCGCATGGCAAAGAAAACTTGTAATGCGCAGACATTAAGAGAAAACACAAACGAAATGACGCTGGCAAGCATTTCCTGCAAGACAGAGGCTGTCTGTCTTGCTTGTCTTGCATCAGACGAGTGGGTAACTGTGACGCTTTTTTCTCACGATAGGATGACATGTTTATCCTGGTGAACGCTTTCGACAGTTTATCAAAAGGAAAAATCCCCCCTCCCCATACTCAAACCACAAATTTGTGATGCAGATTTGTGGTCACAAATCAGCTTCGTCATGCTAGAAGGGAAAAGATGCGGACTGTAGTGCGGGTTGCCGTGCGAAAGCCTTGCATCTTCAGCATGACAGGGGGCAGCTGGAAGTCGGAAACAGCATGACAAATTGCCTGCAAACGAGGCCACAGCTGCGTCTCTTGGCCTTCTAGCATTACAAGTCGATTTGTGTACTCAAATACAGCATCACAAATTTCGTTTCCGATATGGGGAGGGGGGATTTTTCCTTTTGATACAGTTTCCCGGACCTCCCCCCAAAGGAACGAGCCAGAAAGGCGCTGGAGAAGTGCGGCATGACCGTCACCCTCACCAGTTTGACAAACGTGGTGGTCTTTCTGTTCGGAGCCACGTTCAGCTACCCCGCTGTGCAGTATTTCTGCATCTACGCCGCCATGGCCATCTTTTTCAACTACGTGCTGCAGTGCACGCTTTTCACGGCCTTTCTGGTGAAGGACCTGCAACGCCAAGAGAAACGGTTGCAGGACGGCATGTGCGCGGCTTTTCTTCCGAGTGTTTGCTTAGCAACGAACGGCGGTAGTGAGGCGCGCTGCAGCGACTCTACTTCCGGCACAGTATTATGCTGTGGACGACCGCTGCTGACAAGTGGGCAAGTGGAAGAGATTCGGACAATAACTGCAAGAACAACTTCTACGCAGACCAGCGAACAGCGGGCGGAGGCAAAAATCTTAGAGAAAGGAAGTGGAACAGCAACTTCTACCGATAGAACGAATAATGAGGGTTTTTTTGAAGAAAGCGCAGGAGGACAGGTAGCCGCCCCTGATATCGCTCCTCCTCAGGACCACGAAAGAAGTGACGGTCAAGATGAAATGAAGACCGCTAAAATAAATGATGCAGTAGCTGTAGCACCAGTCTCCACGGTTCTCTTCGCGTCCTATGACGACAGCAATTTTCGCCCCTTCATTCGAAGATGTTACGCCCCGCTCCTGACCCTGCCGGTTGTGAAGCTGTTGGTCTGCGTTGTTTTCTTCGGGTACTGCGGCTTTAGCATCTACTGCATCACAAACGTAACCAAGGACTTTGACTTGAAGGAACTCTGTCTATCCAAGAAAAAAAGATTGTAGGTGTAACTTTCTTGGAGGAACACCATGACAAATCCGTCTGACATGAGAGCAAAAATCTGTCATGCGCAGATAGTACGGAAAAACGCCATTGAACGGACCCTCCAATGCATGCCCAGCATGACAGACGCAGTCATCTTACATGTTGCGCATCACAAATTTACACTAGCAACGTTTTTTTCTTGGATACTGTCCCGACGAGAGTTACTACCGCGACATGCTAGAGATCACCGACCAGATGTACGAAATGAGCGGGAAGGGACGACTCAACTTTGGCCTCTACTACACGCATGACCATTCGCAACTTGATTCCCAAAACGTTATGATCGAGCACGAAACCACGGTCCGGCACCTGAAATACGTGGAAAGCGACGAAGTGACCTCGTGGTTCCGCGCCTTCCGGCAGTATTGCGTGACCAACGGCACGGTGTGCGCGCAGGAGAAGGTGCCGGGGATATCGTATGTAGTGAGGTCACCGAACGGTTCTAACCAGGGAGTTTTTTTGACATATACCCTGAAAAACGACCGGCAGTTTTGAAGCGGCCGGAAGTGTTTTTGAGCATAAAAAGTTTTCACTTATCAAGCGGCCGGGGCGTTTGCGGCAAAAAAGCCCGAGCGGATTCTATCGGTTCCCGCTTGATAAAACGACGCAGGGGAGCCGGCAAAAGGGGCGCCCTTCTGAGGCGCCCGCCGCCTTAGTTTCTGGCGATTTGGGGAGCCCAAAAAGGGGCGCGTAAAAAACGCACCCAAAATCAGAACAGCGAAACAGCGTGGCACGGCCGCGATTTCGGAGCATTTTGGGCGGCCGCGAAAGCGGCCGCCTTTTCGCCGGTTTTAGAGCCTGGGAGGCTTTGCAAAAAGCGCCGGCGTGAAAAATAAAAACGCGAAAAATAAAAAGCGCCCCAGACGCGCAAAGCCAATCCGCATGCTATGGGCCCGGTTTTTCTTCGCTTTTTGAGCGCCCCCCGTGGCACCCGGATCGGCCCCATAGCGTCGGGGCTGGCTTTCGGAGAGGAATTTTGGAAGTGTGCCAAAATTTGTGACGTTTCCCAGGTGGCCGCAATACCGTGCGGCATAACGTTAATCACGGCGGTATGGCGAGCCCAGAAGAAGCAAAGCCGCGGCCAAGGCGGCGGTCGGCAAAAAAACGCCCACGACCTCACTACCCCCGCCCCGGCGGCTATATTTGGTAAGGAAAAATCCCTCCTCCCCATACTGAAAAGGTATGTTTGCGAAAATTTGTGTTGCTGATTCGAGGTCACAAACCACATTTGTCTTGCAAGAAGACAAGGGCAGCAGCTTCCGCCCTATTATGGAAGCGATTTGTCATGCTCTGGGGCCTAAAGGGGAGCCGTTTGCCATGCTGAGCAACTAGACCCATAGGCCCCTACCTAGCCTGGGGATCTGGCCGCAGTGCCTCTCTGCAGTACAAAGCTGATAGATTCGTGTACAGAAATACAGCATCAGAAATTCCGTTTTGATATGGGGAGGGGGGATCTTTCCTTTCGATAGGGGAGTGCCGTGGTTCCGCACGGCGATCCCCGGTTGTTCGGGAACTTGGTTTTTAACTGGCTGCAGCTCTCCGTCTATGACAGTGCACAAATCCCCCTCGGCCTCATTTCTCATGCAAAATCGCAACTCCAATTGTTCCCTTGTTGCTATCTATTATATTCATGCGAAAATATTGCTCTAGAGAGGGTAAACGAGAGGTGGCAAAAAGAGGTCAAAGGAGGTAAAAAAGAGGTCGACAGAGGTGGAGAGGTGGCGCGGGAGGTAATTCGAGAGGGTGGCCGAGAGGGGGCGCGAGTATAGCCCGCCGAACCGGTCGCCCTTTGGGGCCGCTAAGCGGCACGGAGGTGGCCGAGAGGTAAAAAAGAGGGCAAGCGAGAGGTGGACAGAGGTGCCGAGAGGTTGCGCGAATAAGGGGAGACCTCTCGCGCACCCTCTGTCTGGGCCACCTCTCGGCCACCTTTGTAGACCTCTACCGGCGAGTATAGCCGGACTATTAGCAACACCTCCCGGAAGAGGTGAAAAAGAGGGTCCGCGAGAGGGGTAAAAAAACCTGAATCCGCCCAGCACAGGGCTGATTTTTTTGCGGCCCTTTCATGCAAAAGCCCGAACCCTCTCGCGCACCCTCTCGCGCACCCTCTCGCGCACCCTCTCCCTCTCGCGCCACCCTCCCGCGCCACCCTCTCGCGCCACCCTCTCGCGCCACCCTC